TCACTTGCAATGTTGAACCTGGAACAACATTTTCATGATGAACAACACCAACACGACGATATCAGATCATCCGTAAACCATCTGTGTGGACTCGATGCACAGAATCAGGCTTCAGCACAACCTCACAAAGTGATCATTTAGACACATATATGGCTTCACATCATCAGTATTTTGTGAAACACAGACAGGAAGCAATCAAATATCATTTCAGCAGCTTATTGATGACGTTTGTCACACGACGGTTTCAGTCAGTGTACAGTAAAGACCGACTGTGCAGAGATCTAGTAATCCTGCACCTTCATCGACCTGAACAAAAGTGCTGCCTGAAGTGAAATACTGAGGTTTTGCAGACACATGACTTGTGACCATGTGACATTAACTTGTCCAGCATTTTGGACATGTGACAATCAATGAATAATTCTCCAGAGACACGATAACGAGCACCAATGAGGGGAAAAGAAAGATTATCCAACAGACTGAGCGGCTGCTGGAGGTGGATGGCAGTCGCTGGTAAAGCTTCAGTCTCACTGTAAACCAGTCAGTGACCCATGGCTCCATCCCATGGTAACCACCCGTGTCTAGGGAAAAATGCCTACCCCCTACTGGTTGGCCCTCTGCGCAGGAGTGGAACTGTGAAACGAAGACCATTTGCCTTCAAAGTAAAAGTTGTGCCTCAGCGTTGCAACCAACTTGTTTCATTAAGTGCAGCTTTTACTCTGAAAACCTCTCCACCTGCAGTTTCTGTCACACTTTTATAAAGACTATAAACCTGATGTTTGCCATGTGTGCAGAGCGTTTATGAACACTGAACAGGTTCTTACCCAGAGGGATGAAGTCAGAGCTGGACTTGAAGAGCGCCGAGGGCAGCAGCTGGAACTGAAGCACACAGAACAAACGTCTGAGTCACTTTAACGTTCAACAGCAACGAACAAACGCACTGATCAGAGCGAGTCCTGCTGCAGCAGGTGCTGCACGGTCTGAATACAGATGAGGGCAGGATACACCTGAGCTCACATCTGTCTACAGACTGAACCTGCAAACTGCAGCAGAGGCTTAACATCTGCATGACTCACAAACCAGCAAGTGTTTAAAGTAGTGCTGTCAATAGATCGTGATTAATCGCAATTACTTGATCAATAGCCTGGCTGCAATGACATTTTTTCAACTTCATATTTAAGCTTGTAACTGACATTTGAGGGTCGACTGTCCCATCTTATTGTTTTAATGCTCAAATCTCCCGTGGAGAGGCCGAAG